GACGACACGACTACGGCTGCCATCCAAAGGATACTCGGGAGGCAGGCAAGCGGCAGGCAAGGACCTTTTTTTAGCCTGTGTGTAGTAGGTTGACTGCCTCAAGGATGTTGTCGCAGCAGCAGCAGCAACGGTAGCAACGGCAGCAACAATGTTGTAGCTCATTCCTCTGGGGAGCAGAAAGGGTCAAGTGCGAGCGCGTGGCAGGGAACCGGCAAGGCAAAGCAAGGACATTCAACCAAAAAGGGTTAATGTTAACCTTCCTTATTCCTTCCTTCCTTATTCGTCCGTCGTCGTCCTTTTTCCTCTGGTAATGAAGCTCATTGGCCTTTTTATTAGACGAAGAAGTTGCTGCCACTTGTCCTCGTTTTTTTTTCTGTGTTTGTTTGTTGCCTTTCCTTTTATTTTTTGAGGGTATTTTTATGGCACTGCCCCTGGCCGACCTTGACCTGCTGCTGCTTCTGCTGCTGCTGCCACAGCAGACCTTGAACTTGGCCCGTAACCATCTCCCACTCCTCTTTGCTGTGACGCTGTCGTTTTGTTGTTGTTGTATTTTTCCCCCTCCACTTGGCTTGGATTTCAATGAAGAGGCGCCGCGGGCTGGGGCTGCGTCCCGTTCCCATGGATGTGTCTGTGGCAGTGGCAGTGGCAGCAACTGTTGCCTGTTGCGTGGCTGCTTTCAGCGCTTTCATTGTTCGACTTAAGACCCACACGGGGATCGTCTCTCGCTCGCTCGCTCGCCCTGTCTGTCCGCTCAGTCTTTCATAACGATGAAAAAGAAGCAACCGCAACATGAGCTGTGTGGCAGTGGGGCAAGGGATTCGATACTCGGGACAGGTTGCCTCTGCTGCTGCTGTTGCTGTTGCTGCCTCACGTGCTGCGTGTGCCAAAAGTCGCCTTCTCCTCTTACAGTTTGGGACATCACCAAGTGCCAAGTGGCAGACTCTGCTGCTGCTGTTGCTGGCTCTTGCTGCCTCGAATTGGTGGGCTGCCTCCAATGCGGACAGTTGGACGACAAATTGTCTGACTGCCGCCTGTTGCCACCAGTCCGGTGTCTGCCACAGGCCCGTGGCTCTCTGTTTTTTACGAGCTGTATGTAAGCTCTTGTATCGCCATCGCACGTAGGAGTCCCCTCCATCTGTAGCTGTAGCTGTTGCTGCTGCTGCTGCTGTCACGGTTGGTGGTGCGGGCCTCGGGTCTGGTCCGTGCCACAACTACTGTGTGCCACTGAGGTAGCCGACTTGGCGCCACAACATGTTGCTGTTGGTTCATGTTGGCATTTACGATTATGTCTGGCAGCTGCGCCTCTACCTCTCCCACCTCTCTGTTTGTTTTGAGTGATGGCCAAGGTGTGGCCAAAGTCTTAAAGAGCCTTCGCTTTGACATTGTGGCAGGTGGTGGCAGGGGCACACACACACACCCCGGAGTCCGGACCGCATCGAATGGTGGAACCCGTTGAGCGGCTTTTCACGATTGCGGCGCCTAATTAGACGTTAAGTGCACGGGTCGGCTTCCAATTGAAGTTGCCACAGCCAGAGACGGTGCTTCTGGTGCTTCTGGTGGTGCTGCTGCTGCTCCTCCTCCTTCTGTTCGTTGTCCAAACATTGTGACAGCGCGATTGCATCGCATGGGGCATGTGTTGACTAATTGCCGCCCCTCTAGAGAATGTCGCTGCTTGCATGGCGGGGCCCCATTCCCAGAGCTGGACATACGCCAACGCCGTACCACGACACAAACAAAAAGAGAAGCAGGCAACAGGCAACAGGCAACATGCGACACAACACACAAGGTGGGTGGAAAAACAAGGCTTGGAAAAAAAATGCACATTTGCCAGTGAACAAAATATTCATTACACTGTGCAACACAGTTGGGAGTGGGAATGTTGCATGAAAGTAGAGCGTGGAGTGGGGCGGGGATTTTTTTGCTTGGAAAATGAAAAGATTTTCAGGTAATTAATTTATTGCTCCTTCAGATCTAAAGATTATTAATATGCAATATGAAGCAAATTCCTTTTCAATTAAATTCAAACATAAATTCTGCTTAGATTTTCATGGATGTGTGTTCCAGTGAGCCAGTATTTTCGTGGGTCTGTTAAAGTTTTTCCTTAGTAGGAATTATTTAGCAGCGGTTCGGAATAATCTCCTTGGAATATCCTTAAATATTTTTTCTTTCTAAAGTTGTGCAAATTATGCAATGAATTTAGCTGCAAAGCTATCCCAATCTCATTTTCTCCTCAATATGACCTAATCCAAATTGATATCCTACTCTTTATCGTATCTGTAGACTGAATAAACTTTAATTTCATTTCAAAAATTGCAACAAAATAGAGTGAAACATTTTTGTGTAGTTCAGTGTAAGCCTTTGGATGCCAAAGGCCTGAATGATGACAAATTCCAGCCGCATTCCATATGCAGATTTTGCACAACGATATACCGAGAGAGAGAGAGGCAAACGTTCAATGGGGGAGTGGCAGCAGACACAGAGAGACACAAAGAGAGAGTGCAACAAGTTGTTGACCAAAGGACAGGGCCGGGCATTTGGCCTCTGCCTCTGACTCTGTGTGGCACTGCGTATGAGAGGCATGGGGCGCACAGGGAAGGGGCGCGTGACTGTAGACCAGAGCACCAGGTCCAGAGCTCTCCCAAAACAATGGGCCCCAAAATTGTTGGTAACTGCATCCAGACATGAAGGCCAAAAAAGGACGGCGGTGGAGCCCGCGCCCGCGGCCGCGTTGCAGGCGTCAAAGCATGCCACAGAGTAGGAGTCATGGTCATGGCAATGGCAATGGCCATGTGGCCATGTGGCAGGCAGCACATTCGGGCCAAATCCCGTTGCCGTTGTCGTCTGCCAATGGATTTTCCTTTCTTTTGCTGTTTTTGCAGGCTGAAAGGTCATGGCTGGGGGCAAGGGGGCAGCAGCGCGACCTGGATTTTGGCAGCAGCAGCAACAAGCAACAAACTGCAGTGGCACACCCATGTTGCCTCCGCATCCGCATCCGTATCGGTGTCCGTGTCACTGGGCCACCGAAAAAAAAAGGAAAGAGAACAGCACTTCACTTTCCCCCGCACACAGGCATTTGTGGCAACAGAACAGCCAAAGGAAAACTTTGCAAATGCTGCACAGCACCAGGAGAGAGACGGAGAGAAGCAGTGGGAGAGGGGGTAGGGGGTAGGGAGTGGAGCAAGCTGCAGACAAAGTCTCCGAAGCCAAGAGTCGGATGCCACAAAACTTAAAGAACGTTTTGCCATCGTGTGTTGTTCAATGTCGAGGCGGCTCCAGGCAGAGAGGCCTGCCCTGCCCTGGCTCCACTCATTGGAGGCATGCAACCAAGCAGGAGCAGGAACCAGTACCCGCCACAGACTGTGGCACACACACACACACACAGAGAGAGCGAGCGGGCGACGCCACTTGGCTGCCAGACAGCGGAAGATGGAAGGTTGGAAGGCAACTTGTTGCAGATTTTATGGAGCCAAAGAACGAGGAGGACCGACTGCCAGCCGCCGCACTTGGGTGGATGTCTTCTGTTCCCTGCCACTTTTGCCTTTTTATGCCACTCCAGACCCATGTGGCATGTGTGTGTGTGTGTGCGTGCCACACACTCCGGGGAGTCACTGGTGAGAGTCGTGTGGCAATGATGACATAATCAACGCTTCATTGACGGTTACACCCTGTCCTACAGCCACAGCTGCTGCTGCTGCTGCTGCCACAAGTTGTGGCTGTGGCTGTGGCTTACATGACAAATCACATGAAGGAGATTTTACTTTTGATGTGCTTGCCGCACAGTCGGGCAAATCTACTTGAAATCCACTTTTGGGTTCCAACCAAAGTTCCTCCCAAATATTCGCATGGAAACCTGCGACAGGCCCCAGCCATCACACATCCTCGTACATCCATCATTATGCTAATTGCTCACACCCAATGCCATGCCCTGCCACATTCATTCGATATTAACTTGTGTCAACTTTTTTACGAGAGGCCCCGACCTTGAAATTCAAACGGTAGACACAGACCCTGACGCTGCCACTGCCACTGACACTGCCACTGCCACAGAGCAGAGGATATTGCGTGCTGTGCAAAAGGGAATCCCCTGGCCCATCAGCGGGCACGGGGGGGGCTAAGGTCAAAGTCAATGGCAGCGCCACTGACTCTGGCGTTTTCCTGGTCTGCCTTTTGGGTCTGGATCCCAGAGTCCCAGTCCCAGTCCCTGTGGCAACAATACGAGTAAGTAGCTTGCCGCGCGCCCAGCATTCTCCTGCTCTGGGGTCTCGTCTCGTGTCTTTGGCTTCTACGTGCGGCATGTGGCAGGCACACAGCTCGCTGGGACTGTGGCTGTGGCTCTGCGCTGCACAAGTGGTCCGCCTCTGAAGAGTCTGGAGCCAGAGACAGTTAGAGGGAAAAAGTGCCGCCGCAGCGTAACTTTTGTCTGTTGCCCTTTTCCCCCCCGCTCGGCTTTATTCCTGGCCGTTTTTTTTTTGCTTGCTGGTTTTTATGGTGGTGACCCCCAGAGCTACGTGCGGCGGCGTCTGCTGCCTGCGGCGGGAGATTATGCCCGGGTCTGGGTCTGAGTCTGGGTCTGTCTGCGACGGCTGCTCTGCTGCCTCTTTTGGGGGAAACCCGGCAACGACAAACGACAACAGCAGCGACAGCGACAGCAATGTCTGCCCTGCCACACTGCCACTGAGGATGACGACGATTTTGCATGGCTGGTATCCAGACAATGCCGGGCGTGATGACGTGGAAAATGTTGCCGCATAAAGAGGCATTCAGCCGGGTACTCTTTGGGCAATCTCCCAACCGCAGACATTCTGTCGTCGCGTGACTTAATTAGTTCCGTTGCCACGAATGAAAGGCAAAGTGGGGATTCGACTGGAGGCAAGGGAAGAGATTCGAATGAAGGCAAGGGTGAGCCTGGGATGGGAGGCAAAGCAGAAATCCGATTGAAGACAAAGCTCGGATTTAAATACAGAAATTTGACATAATAAAAGTCAAGTAGCTTCGCTTACCCCAGTTGTTGGTGTCCCATTGCCTGCGGCATTGATTCCTGTGGCATTGGCACCAGCATTATTCCCGTTTCCGGCTGACTTTCCCTTGCCACGGCCGCGTTTCGAATCGGGTCGAACGGGCTGACCATCGGCCCCATAGATTATCTGTTGACGGAAGAAGAGAAATAGAAGATAGAATTAGTTAAATCAGTCGTAAAATAGGTATTAAATTAAAATAAAAAAGAAAATCCTGGCATATATTCCCTTCCAACTTTGTTAGAGTGTTGATTTTCATTAATTTCCATTTAAACCAAACTAAAGCATATATTTTTCCCGCTTACACTGACTGCTCTCTTTCCAATAGAGTTTAAACTGCAGTTACCTTTATTGTTCCATGCTATTTAATTTTTTTTAATTTTAATTTATTTTAAAGTTTTAATTTGGCGCTAAATTTAAATGGATGGTGCGTGTATTTGCTAAATGGTTGCAGTACCAACTGTATGTTGCGCAACATCTTCTCTACTCGCATTTACGAAACTTGCCACAGCCACGACGCCATCTGTATGTGATGGCTGTTTTCAGCTGCTCGTACAGCGCCATCTATGTGTTGCTAAGCGAAACAATCAATGTAGAGCGTGTGTCGAGTGTCGTGTATGCTACATGCAACTGTATAATAAATGTAATATACAGTATATTTTATTCTACACATATCGAAATCGATTTAGCGCGTTAGTTAGACTTTTTGAATATGTCAATACATATATTAACACATGAATACAATAACACAGCAATACATATCAATAGAGCGTGAAACAATTAAATTATATTTAACGTTGGATTAAACTTAGTCTACAATTCAATAAATAAATAAATGCCTTGCATTTTACAGATTTACTTGGCCCAGCACTGTACGATTTTGTGATGTTTGTGATGGTATTTTAAGTATTTTGTATTTTAAGTGTATTTGAACAGTAGTAAGAGAATTTTTGTACTTTTTAAACCAGTGAATTATATAAAAATCTCTTAGGTACTTTTACGCCCAAGATCACTCAAAGTTGGATAGTGGATATATCTCTAATCGTAGGCGTGGAATGAATGCTAAACATCCCATAAATCCTTTTTAGAGAGCTCCTTCTATAGAATTTTCTATATTAAACGACATATTGCCCTAACATCTATCTATATGTAAGTATGTATATATGTTCATACATGTATGTATGTATGAAATTTGTACTAAAATTCATCTCCCAACCAAATTTTAAGCATTGATTTATAGTTTTGGATACTTCACCAAATAAAACGGAACACTAACTATATCCTGCACTCCACTCCACTCCAACATTCCTATCATCCCCTCAAATGATACCCCCAAATATGCATGTATTTTCCTCATTAAACGGATACAAAAACAACCAGTTGAATAATGACAATGAACCACCGCCGCCCCCTCTCAGTCTATCTCTCTGTCTGTATGGGAATGTGTGTGCTCTCATATTAAATTACTCTCCATATGGAGATCGGAACGAAAGTGCCGTAAGAGCCATAGATAATTCCAATAGGCATGAGAAATGCTGCCACACACACAAATTTCTACAGAAGAGGTTTTAGAACCGCCTGTTGGACCAAAAACTCGGAATCCAAATCTATTTCCGGAGCAGAGAGAACGAGAGAAGAGTCATAAATATCAGAATCTGAGATCCCAATCCCAATCCCAATCCCTATCCCTATCCAAACGGGAGCCATTAGTTGCTGGAGTGCTGGAAAACTAAAGAACAGAACAGAATAGAAGAGAACAGAACAGAAACGGTAAAGTTGGAAAATGTTCAATTGTGTGTGCGTGCGCGCAGGCGTGCCCCTATGCCTCACTGCCTCTGGCTCTGTTTGTGGCTCTGCCTCACATGCAGACGAAAATAGATCCCGAAGGGCGACATATGGTTCCAGACAGCTTCGCAGGAGTGCCTCTGGAATGCTCTGCTTGTCTGCGACTGGGATCGGGGGTCTTTCTTTTCTTTTTTTGGGGTCTGATTGACAGCCGCTGCATCTTAACGGTAAATAAGCGACGCCATCGTTCCATCCCCTCCCCATGCTCCCCCATTTCCACCATTACCATTACCATTTGCCAGGCCGTCGCATTTTACATTGTTGGCACGCGCAGGCGCGCACACATGTTGCCACAACGTCAATCTCATCTCAGAGGCAGATGGGGCAGGCTGTGGCAAGGAATGGAATGGAATGGAGTGCAAGGGAGAGTGCGTCTGCGTACATGATTCTCCTTCTCCACTCCTCTCCACTCCTCATCTCTTGCCACTCGGTATTCAATTTTAGCAGCAGTTGTCATTTCGGAAGCAATTATTTTAATGCAGAGTCGAGAGCCCCAGAGCCCAGAGCTGCCGACCAAGCAGAGCCCAGAGAGAGTGAGAGAGAGAGAGAGAGAGGGCGAGCGTGTGCCAGCCCCCCCAAATGATGGAGGAGACGATGTCACTTGGGCCTGGGATTACCTACAGAATGCTGTTGGGGTTGCTGCTGTGACTGTGGCCTGGGGCTGTTGTTTCTAAATTTAGTTTCGCCCTTGCAGGGCCTCCTCTTGAGGTGTTTTCGGTTGAAATTGATACGAGACAATGTTTGCTTGCAGCCAAGTACAGTTGCGCCCGGTACAGTTGTGCTTAGAAATGGCGCAGAGCCACAGCAGCAAGCGGAGAGCCAGAGAAGTAGCATTGCCGCCTAGAGGGAGTCCACAAATAGATGGCACTGTGAGATGTTCGTTTGATAAAGTGATCATTGAATGGGAAGAGAATTTCAAAGACTCTGGAGTAAAAGTTTCTTAAGAGTTTTTAGGCTTAAGATTAATCGAAGAATTTCAAGAAATTTGATAAATTTCTCTAGACATATGATTGAGTAAACACTTTATATTAATCATCCAATAAAATATCATTTTCCTTAGTAAACCAAATACTGTTCAACATTAAAACTTGAGGCAGTCCCCTTGCAACGATATTCTACCCACAAACACCTTCCACAGCCACTTCAGGCCCACACACAATACGCCTGGCGAGGCCCTCCTACATTCAAAGGGAGAACGAAAGTAGGCACAAGGACAACGACCTACTAAAATTGGGGCAAAAGTAGGCAACCCAACAGGCTCACACACACACACACACAGATGCACAAGGCAACGGGTATTGTTGAAAGCTGTGTCACTTCTGATGGCAAACAACAACAAAAAATCGATGACAGTTTATGCGCCTCGAAATGGAACCTTTTTTTTTTGTTTAAATCAATTTTTTTTGCAGCAGCTTCCTGTGTTGCGGCTGTTGAAAGATGGCAGCAGAGAGCCCGTCTGCTCTCCAGCAGATAATTTTGTTGAACATCATATTTTGCTGTTGTTGTTGTTGTCTGGTTCACTGTTTACTTTATTAGCGCCAACAACAGGCAACAGAGGCAGGCAATAAGAGCAAACAGAAGCAACAACAAGATGAACAAAAGGCCGCAACAGCAGCAACAGCAGCAACAACAAAAGCAACAAAAGCAACAGAAAACGCATGCTGACTTAATTGGGGCTATTAGTTTTTATTAAAAGGAAGCCCCTACTGATGAGATGAGGAAAGTGGCAGCTGCGGCGATACAATAATGAGCTGCTCAAAGCTAAACGCCGCCGGCCAAATGGAGAGTGGACCCCAAATGGAGTTTCAGTGGCCGTGGCAAAACAGGAGCAACAGGTAGAGCCCCCCCGAAGGCACACAAAAACCGCAAGGGCCACACGCACACAACACACACAACACACACTCACACACAGCACTTTTTGGGGCGGAGGGAATGAATATTGAAATGAAGCGGAGAAGGAACCCTGACCTAGCACAATACTCGTAGGGTTTGTGGTAGGAAGTCGAGAGCGAGAGCCCGAGAGCCCCCCAACGGGAGACTTCTTTTATGACACAATTTTTGGGGGAAACCACAACAAGCTATCGTTCCCCTCGCAATCCCCTCTGTCTGCTGCCGCCCTTCATAATGAGCCATAAAAAAAGCTCCTTTGACAGAGCCGAACCCCTTCTTCGCTTTCGTGTGTTGATGTATTGTCGAGCTCCTACTTGTTGCTGTTGCTGCGGCCCGCCCCCTCAATCGAATGCCTCTTAAGGCGGCATTCGAGGTTCATTCAACCCACCTCTCTCTGAAGGGGGCAAATCCTGACCTGTGCCAAAAAATCCACATTAATTATTTCCACTCCACCTGGCGAGCAATTAGAGCAGCCGTCAGTCAACCCTTTTTTTGGGTACTGCCTTCGGGATGCTGGCTGCTGACTGCTGGGTGCTGCTCCCCCGTCCCCACCAGTTGGGAGATGAGAAAATCGATTTTCATAGGCCAAACAATATTTCAAGGTTACCTTAATCTCTGTTTATTTTGATTATCACTTTCGTACCCCTATATCGCACTCCCCAACGGAGAGCTTTTCCTGATTAGCCGCCTGCCTTCTGCTGAGGGTCGCGCGCGTCCTTGAAGGTTGCCCAAATATCTCACTGTCTCTCTCTCTCTCTCTGTGTGTCTGGTCTCTCTCTGTCTGTCTGTGGGGTGAAGGGCTGGGGTAATATTTTGGATGATTCACTGTCTCGGAGCGCAACATGGCCGATGCCTGACAGGATTTGCTTTTTATGGCTTATATCCCATTTTGATTGCGGCTGTCAGCCTTTTCTTTTTTCCTTTTTTGCTGGGTTTTGTTTTGTTTTGTTTTTGGGGGTTGACTTTGCCAGAGGGTGGGTTTCGCGTTTCATTTGTAATTGAAGCCAACCCCTATACATTATGTATACCAATACATATGTATGTACATACATATATGTATGTATATTTCTGCCAGAGGTAAGCGGGGTGTTGGGTGGCAAATGCGTCATCGACAATTTGTTACACGTCATTTGGATGCGAAAAATTTTCAATGTCAATTGCGAGACGAGTCAAGGCGACATTACTCGCCGCCCCCCTCCTAAGGTCTCTCTTTCAGTGTCCTCCCCCCTTCTTTGTGGCGTTCCCCCCTTGAGATGTAACCGTTTTGACATGTGCTAAAAAGCTCACTTCAAATATTTATCAAGGTCAAGTTCAGGCAGGATGGGCGGGCAGGGTATGGCAGGGCACAACAGGGGAAAGGAAGTGTTTTATTGTTTGTTGAGGTAGCGGGGAAA